AAAGCTCCTTTATAGCCAAGTGTAATATCCTAAACTGACTTTTGTGAACTATGCATCTAACACAGTAATGTAACACACTCCTTGCAGCATCAAGGAATTAAATAAAACCATAGGGCTTAGGGGCTAGAAGAATATTTTTGGTTAATCCTTGTGTTTTTTGGGTCAGTGTTAAGTGCCTTCATTTCCTTTCAGACACAATTAGGGACTTGGTAACAACATTCAGTAGAGAAGAATAGTCCTTATTTCAAGTTTCTGGAGCCCAGACTTGGCTAACAAAATTTGTTGTACAGGGCCGGGGGTGGGGATGGGTAGTAAAATGAGGCCATTAACATGCTACTTTCCTGGTAAAGGGATGAGAAACAAAAAAAGGATAAAGAGTGTTAAGAAATGAATATTGACTCTCATTTCCAAAGATAGCTCTTGTTTTCTTGTTTTTTTAGGAAAGCATGGACAACAATGTGAGTATCTGATATGGGGGAAGAAAGTTAAATTGTCAAGTAGCAATGATCCTTTTGGGCTTAACTCCTGATAATATTTTACCTTTTTCTCATCTTCAGTCTTCTTTTTTAAGTGTGTTTTTCCTTCTTATTATACAAAATACGGGTATACGCTCATTGTACAAAATTGGAAAATACAGATGAGTACAAAGAAAAAAATAAAGAATTCTCCACGTCCCTCCCCCAACACCTCTCAGAGCCAGACCTTCTCTCTATTAATATTTTGGTCTATTTCCTTTGTCCTCTTATCGGACATGGTTTTCTTTTTACATAATCAACGTCTGTTTATCCCTCCATCCATCCTTCTCTACTTAGTGATACATCAATAAACATTTCCTTCCCCCTGGTGTTAAAAACTTTGTGATCTGAGCTGCTGAGGTTGCTTATGTACAACCAAACACCTTGTGGCATTTGGTTCCTTGGTTTGGTGGTTTAGGGTCATGGTTTCACGGGACATCCCAGTTAATTGGCCTAATAATGTGCTTAGGTGCTTCCCTTCTACCTCTTAGTTCATTGTACAGTGCCTGGGGTCTTAAAAGCTTATAAGGTATACAAACACAAAGAAACGATCTTTGATGGTTACAAGGGAGGAGAGGAGGGGTAGGGAGAGGAAATCACTAATTAGATAGTAGACAAGTGTTAACTTTGGTAAAGGGAAAGACAATACACAATATAGGGGAAGTCAGCATAACTTGGCCAAGGTAAAGGAAGACACTTAGAGGAACACAAGAAAGACATAAGAGGCAACCACAATAAATACTATGGCAGATACAATCCTACAACAACAATAAAAACAAATAATAACTTATAGGCAGGTATGTGTGGTGAATAGGGGAAGGAGGGAGTATAGGAGTATACCCACGTACACATGTAGGTTAGGCCATGAATTGTTTTACGTACATATTTCTATGTACAGCGTGTAGATTCATATATACAATAGGGCACAAAGGGGGCACAGTACAGAAGCTTCCTAGACACATCCAAACACCTTGAGAGACCAAGTTATGGGGCCTGAGTGCTGGGGACCATGGTCTTGGGGGACATCTAGGTCAATTGGCATGACATAGTTCGTAAAGATGTTCTACATCATGCTTTGGTGAGTAGCATCTAAGGTCTTAAAAGCTTTCGAGCAGCCATGTAAGATATGTCTATTGGTCCCATCCCATCCAGAGCAAAGGAGAATGAAGAAAACCAAAGACACAAGGAAAATATTAGTCCAAAGGACTAAGGGACTACATGAACCATCTCTACCAGCTTGAGCCCAGAAGAACTAGATGGTGCCTAGCTACCACCACCAACCTCTCTGACAAGGATCACAATAGAGGGTCCTGGACAGAGCTGGATAAAAATGTAGAACAAAATTCAAACTTAAAAAAAAGACCAGACTTACTGGTCTGACAGAGACTGCAGGAATCCCTGAGACTATGGCCCCTGGACACCTTGCTAACTCAGAAATGAAGCCACTCACAAAGTCCACCTTTCAGCCAAACATTAGACAGGCCTATAAAACAAACAATAACATACATGAGGAATGTGCTGCTGCTTAGTTCAGTCAAGTAGATGAGACTAAATGGGCAACACCGGCCCAAAAGCAAAAAAGAGAAGTCAGGAAGGACAGGAAAACTGGACAAATGGACATGGGAAACCTTGGGTGGAAAGGGAAAGGGGGAGAGTGCTGATGCATTGTGGGGATTGCAACCAGTGTCACAAAAATTTGTGTATAAATTTCTGGATGAGAAATTAATTTGCTCTGTAAACTTGCACCTAAAGCACAATAAAAGGGGGAAAAAGGGGGAGGGACATTCAAGGTATAGTAAAACCTGCGAAAGCCAGAACCTGTGTAAGGTGGAAAACTGTCAGAGAAGGAAAACTCAAATATTTTCCACTAAAAGGAGCAATAGAAGAGTGGTAAGGCTGCACCCTGTCAAAGGCGGAAAACTTGTGAGACCCAGGAAAACAGACAGTCCCAGAAAGTTCGGCTCTTACAGGTTTCACTGTATAACAGTTGGTCTGTTTGCCTGGAGCAGGAGAGGAAGAAGTGGAGTCAGGAATAGGAGGAAGAAATGGTATGTGTGGCTAATTACCTCCATGAACAACTGCCTGCTTTGCCATGAGACCAGAAGAACTGGATGGTACCTGGCTACCATTATTGAACATTTTCATCAAAGATTCTGTAGAAGAATCCTGATCAAAAGGGGGAAAATGCAAAACAGGATTTCAAATTTTCATGGAATCCAATCTTTCTGGAGTCATGGAGGCTGGATGAACCCCTGAAACTATTGCCCTGAGATCATCTTTAAACCTTATACCAAAAATACCCCTGAAGTCATCTTAAAACCAAACAATAGTTTAGCTTACCTAGTAAAGAGTGTCTGCCTTGAGCATTATGCTCTTTTAAGATCTGTATGTATGGGATCAGATTGACAACAGCAACTCAAAAGATGAGACAGAAACTTTAGGGGGTAGTGAGTTTATGTTAATGTGGAGGAACAACTCAGAAAAGGAGGGTGAGAATGGTTGCACAACTCAAAGAATTTAATCAGTGTAACTGAGTTATACACGTAGAAATTGTTGAATTGGTGTATATTATGCTGTGTATATTCTCAACAACAACAAAACAAATTATAAAACAAAACTTTGTGTTGTGGATTTTTTAAAAAAATACTGTGTTTTAGGTGAAAGTTTATGCTGCAGTTTGATTTCCCAGATTGTTCGTGACGTTGGTTACAGTGTTCACAGTGTGTCAGCATTCTCATTATAGTCGTACATCGCGTAACGTCCGATATACCTTCTGTGAAATAGGGCGTTATGTGATTTGGATGTCATGCTGACACCATATTATATAAGTCAGTACCTGGATTACGAACTAGTTCCGTACCTAAGTCTGTCTTTAAGTTTAATTTGTACGTAAGTATCCAATGTCAGTTGGTCAAATGTTTGTCTCAGTGTATAGATGTGATCTGGATTTTAATGGATGCAAATTACTTTTAAAAATAGATGTACAAGTATTTGTTTTCCCATGCCCTAATTGTTGTGTGTATAGATTTCCTTTCTTTTTCCCCTTGCCATTATGCCTAATGTTGTGATGAACATCCTTATCGTAATCTTGAATCACACTTTCAATTATTTTCTTAGGCTAGAGTCCTAGGGCCAAAACATAGGAAGACTTCTAAAGCTCTTGATAAACTGGTTTACAGAAGATAGCATCCGTTTGTCTCAGTAGTTTATTTATATTCCGTCTCCTTACTGGAATGTAAATGCCGTGAAAACAGAGAATTTGTCTATTTTTTCTTCTGCCCTTTCCCCAACACCTAGAACAGTCCCTGGGACATTTTAAGTTCTCAGTACTTATTTCCTTCTCGTCTTTGTTTTGTGTACATATGTGATACGTAAAAGATGTGTGTGTTTTACACGATTGAGATCATGCTATATGAGTGAGAGCCCTTTAAATTTTTTGTTCAGTTGTAATAGGTGAAATAGCATCTCATTCTTTCAATATACATTTCTTAATGATGAATAATGGTAAACATACTTCATGTTAATTGGCCGCTTGTATTTCTTTTATGATTTGTCTTTTCATGTCTTTTGTCATTATCTAATTTATTTTTCTCAGTGTTTTTTCATTGTTTAAGTTTTGGTTCTTTCGGGGGACACAAATAAGTACACCACTTTATTATATTTGTTGCAAATATTTTCCAAGCATGTTGTTTGCTTTTTAATTTAGTCCTCCTTTGATCTTTAAATTGGGTTTGGTTCCCCCCACCCCAAAGCATATGGATCTAGTACGTTGATAAATAGCCATAAATTTTTATTCATTAGAGTCATGTAGGACAAAGGAAGTTATTGCTCTGTGTTGGGCTTCTAGTCCATATTCTTGACGTTTAGTCATTTAAAATATTCAACAGTAGAAAAAATTTAATGCCCATTTGTGAAATGTCAGGCATCTAAAGACGAGGATAATAAATTTGTAATTTAAGAAGTGCTAGCATTTGGCAGAGAAGCCCTGGTGATGCAGTGGTTAAGCGCTCGGCTGCTAACTGAAAGGTTGGTGGTTCGAACCCGCCAGCCACTCCAAGGGAGAAAGATGTATCAGTCTGCTTCCGTAAAGATTTGCAGCCTTAGAAAACCTGTGGATCAGTTCTACTGTGTCCTATGGGGTTTCTATGAGTCGAAATTCAACTTGATGGCAGTGGGTTTTGGTGGTTTGGGAGCATTTGGCAATTTTTTAACTTAATAATAATTTCCTTTAGAGAGGAGTCACATTAGTGACTTAACTTCCCAAACGTGTTATTTATCTTATGTAAATCTCGACATGTTGGATTATGTGATGGTCCTTTCACGTGATTAAGCCGGTGTTGAGATGAGAAAGAAAGGAACAATAATTATACCAAAATTGAGATTATAGCATGAATTTCAAGTGATGAAAGTGTGGATAAGAGCAAATGCCATTTTTTTCTTTGGGGGAACTCATAATTGATAAAAGTATCTATTTTTGTTTCTTAGGAATGTTTCGAAAGGATGAAGAACTAACTCCGTCTCAGAGAGGCTTAGCTGTAAGGTATGTGCCTTTTCATTGTATCCTGCCATACGTGGTTCATGTGCTGTCTCTGCGTGGAACACTCGTTATCACATGGCTAAGGCTTACATTTCCTTTCAGAGGTACCGACTTCATGAAAACCAAACTTCCTCCCTCTGCACACCTCCCCGCCCCCCCAATCTTCCTAGTTTAGGCTAAACATCCCTTATTAAGACTCCTATACTCCAGTTGCCATCAAGTCAATTTCAATTCATGACAACCCCATGTGTTTCACAGTAGAACTATACTCCATAAGGTTTTCCATGGCTGTGCTCTTTTAGAAGTAGTTTGCCAGGACTTTTTTACAAAGCACCTCTGGGTGGATTCAAACTGCCAACTTTTTTGGTTAGTGGCCAAATGCTTGACTGTTTACACCACCCAGAACTCCTGAAAAACCAGTTGCCATCAAGTCAACTCTGATTCATGGCAATCCCATGTGTGTCAGAGTAGAACTGTGTTCCACAGGGTTTTCAATGGCTGATTTCTCAGAAGAAGATTGCCGGGCCTTTCTTTCAAGATGCCTCTGGCTTGACTTGAATCTCCAACCTTTCATTAGCATCAAAGACTCCCATAGAACCTTGAATAGGTCATCATACAGTATGCACCTCCTTTGACCATGAGGCTATCTGCTAAATTTTCTGTCTCTCTTATCAGGCACTGAGTTCCTTGAAGATAAGAAGATAGTATCGTCCTCATGTCTAACCACAGCACCTAGGTCTTTGTTGGCCATGTGTGTGGTGGTGGTAGTAATTAAGAGTAATAATAGCAGCTACCATTTATAGGCCAGTAACTTGATGACAGCAACTGGGCAAAGATATAATATGTTGATATGGCATGTAAATGCCATATTTTGAAACAGTGAAGAACTAGCAAAGTATTTCTCATTATTATTTGAGGAATTCATTCTGGAATAGACTTCTACTTCATTTATAAGGAATAGCTTAATTTCTTGGCAGGGTCTTAATCTAATGTACTTAATTGATGAGGGGTTCGTTTGATCTGGGTTCTGTGATCTTAGAGTCCTTGATCCATCACAGTAACCTCTCAGTTTATAGACACTCAGCTCTCTTTTCCCCTTTCCCTCTCACATAGCCACCTGGCAAAACCTCAAACCTAGTTAAATTCAACTGACTGCCTGCCTGAAGAGTGGAAGAAAGCTCAGTGGAAAACAGTCGATCTTGCTGGTGGAACTCATTTTGAGTTTGTTACCCCAAATTTAAAACTATGGCCCTTAGTATTGCCAACAATTCTACTACATTTCTTTAGTCACTTCACTTTCTCACTTTCTTAGAAGACTCCATATTTCAAACTTTTTTTTTTCAAACTTTTCAAATTTCCAGCAGTCCCTCCCCACATTCACTTATGATGGTTGATGAAAGTTTTATTTTTGAAAAAAGCAATTCTGCTTCCTTCTGCAACCACCAAACCTACAAAACTGCCTGCATCTGTAACAAAATACCTACTTTCTTTCCTGGTACCATGGATCAACTGTCCATAATCCAAGCTAAGGCCAACTTTTCACTTTTACCTTGAATCCGATTCCTCCTTTTATACTCAAGGATTTAAGGATTTTGCTTCTTCAGTTACCTCCTCTGTCTTAGCATCATCACTGGCATCAATTTCTCCCTCTGTTGAATTGTTCCCATCAACTTAAAGGAAAAACAAACCTTCATTAAACCCCACGTTCCCTCTGGCTACCATTCCATTACTTTCGTTTGTAGTAAAACTCCTTGAGAGATTTGTCTGTAGTTACTGTCTTCACTTTCTTATCTCCCATTCTTTCCTCAACCCACTTTATTGAGCTTTTGTTCCCACTTCTGATCTGAAATCATTCTTTCAAGTCACCCTTGATCTTGGCACATTTAATTGTCAGCCTAGGTTGGCATGATTCTCAACCACTTAACAACATTCAACCCAGTTGATCACTCAGTCCTTGAAATACCTTCTTCACTTGCCTTCCAGGATACCACATTCTTCTGATTTTCTTCCAAGCTCACTGTTTCTTCTCTGTCTTTGCTGAATCTTCTTCCTCTCACCGCTAAATACTGGTGTACTCTAGGGATCAGCCCTTGATTTCTTAGTCTTCTCCAGGTGATCACACGGATCTCACTGGCTTTAAATAGCATCCGTGTGCTTGAAGTCTCTTACATTTATATTCCCACCTCAGCCTCTTTCCTGACCTCCATGCCCATATATCCAACTGCCATTTCAGCATGTCTGTGTGGATAGTGAATAGGCATCTGAAATAGAAGTGTTCAAAATGTAACTCTTAATTTCTGTGTCCCTCCCCTTTGCATCTTTGCCTGCACCATTATTACCCACTTAGTTAATTGCACTACCATTCGTCACTAGTTGCTTAGGGAAAAAACTTAGGTAAGCCCCCTTTTGCTACTCCAAATCCAGTTCACCAGGAAATCAAGTCAACTCTTTAAAGCATGTCTCTAATTTGACCACTTTTTATCATTTCCGTTCTTACCACCCTAGCCCAAACCATCAACCTTTTTCACTTAGTCCGACCGTGGTAGCTTTCCTACTTGGTCTCCCTGTTTTCTCTCATGCCTTCTGTAGTCTACTCTCTACCTATCAGCCAGACCAAACCAAACCCCCTGTCGTCTAGTCAGTTCTGACTCATAGGGAGCCCACAGGGTTTCCAATGCTCTAAATCTCTATGGAAGCAGACTGCCACCTCTTTCTCCCATGGAGCTGATAGTGATTTTGAACCACTGACCTTTCAGTTAGCAGTCAGGTGCTTTAACCACTGCCCTACCAGGGCTCCTTAACAGCCAGATGATCCTTTTAATGTGTGTTAGACTATATTATTCCCTTCCCCTGATGAAAAGCCTTTAATGGCTTTCCATGTACTTAGAATACAGTACAAACTTCTGACCTCAATATACAAGGCCCCACACCTCTACCACTCTCCCTCCCTCATTCCACTCTTAACTCTACAGACCACCCTATCAAAAATATGATCCTCCCTTCTCTGCCATAGCGTTCTCTTTTTTCTGCTTCATTTTTCTTCCTAATGTATATTATTACCTGATGTTATGCATTTATTTTAATTGTCCCTTTCCTTACCGCCCTCTCCACCAAATGCAAGCTGAGTGAGGACAGGGGCTTTGTCTTGTGTGTCATTATATTCCCATCACCTATACCAAACCAGAAATCAAACCCATTGCTGTCAAGTCAATTCCAACTCACAGCGACCCCATAGGACAGAGTAGAACTGCCCCATAGGGTTTCCAAGGAGCACCTGGGGGATTCGAACTGCCAACCTTTTGGTTAGCAGCCCTAGCTCTTAACCACTGTGCCACCAGGGTTTCCATCACCTCTGCAGTGGCTCACAGCTTGGAGTGATTTTGCCTCCAAGGGGACATTTGGCAATGTTTGGAGACGTTTTGGTTGTCACAGCTTGTGGTTAGAAGCCAAAGATGCTCCTAAATATCCTACATTGCACAGAATACAATGCCCACCCCGCCCCAAAAAAAGTTACTGGCCCAACACGTCAGTAATGCTGAAATTGAGAAACCCTGACCTAAAACAACACAGTTGATGTCAAATAAATATTTATGGAATGAGTAAATGAATCTTTTGTTTAATGTCATACGTTACAATTATATTTAAATTTACAATTTAATACAAATACTTCAGTACCTAATATGACTTGTGGTTTGATATGAAAGTTGAGCCAAAATTGCATCAGCAGATTTTGGCTAAAGAATTGTTATCTCCTGTCCTTGCGTATTGTGATACATAGTTTGGCTTGGTGAGATTGAGCAGTGCTTTGATAACTTAGCATTGTTTGTTCTTGAAATAATTGGTACTGAAAATGGAGCTCCGTTGCTTGAGTACAAGAAGTTCTTTTGTACCTTTGTGATTGCAGGGCACTTACCATGGTGTTTGATTCGGTGAAAACGCATTCTGTTTCAGCGTTAAGTATAAAGAACTGAAAGAGCAAATCTACCAGAAGCATTTTGCTCTCATCAATTTTGAGCCCCAGAAGAAAATACTTTAGGTCTAAGCCATTTTTAAAGGTAGAAAAATAATTCTGGAAAAAAAATGAGAAAGGAGTTGTGGCTGAGTGGTAACCTAGAATAGAGTCATGTGGACAGGAAGAGCTGTTTTTCGCTGTTTTGTTTTGTTTTTTTTAATAAAAATAATACATAGTACATAGGAGGGTATTTTATGGACTTTTCTTGTCACAAAGAGCGTCCCTGTTTTTTAAGGAGACGACGTACTGTATTTAGAGAGGAAGAAGGAATTCTAGCACATTAGAGAAGGACGGTTGCTGTCCCCAGGTGTTCTTTTGTTTGTTTATAATTGGCATGGGCAGTAGACTTTATTAATGGATCTGGTTTTAAAAAATAAATAAAAACCGGAAGACCTATTGCTGTTGGGTTGATTTCTACTCAGAGTGACCCTATAGGACAGTGTAGAACTGCCCCATAGGGTTTCCAAGGCTGTAGATCTTTAGGGAAACAGACTGCTACATCTTTCTCTTGCAGTGTCTAGTGAGTTCGACCCACCAACCTTTGCATTAGCAGCCAAGCGCTTAACCACTGTGCCAACAGGGCTCCTCCCTAAATAAAAACACACACTGTTAATTCATTTATATGTATTTAGACTATATAGTCTAAAATTTAGACATATAGTCTAAATAGTTTAGTCTCCTTTGTTACTATCCTTTTTACACCCTGTTAACCTGTGTTGAGATCTAGAATAGTTGGCAAGCTTTAGCTACTATGTGCCGCTTGCACAGATATCAAAGCAATTGAATTAAAAATGTTGTGAGACATCCTTAACTCCTTTTTCTCTCATGCGCCACATCCAGTTCATCAGCAGACCCCATCAGCTGTACTGCCAGAATATGTGCAAAACGCTCCCTTCACCACTGCTCTAAGCTGCCATCTCCTACTGGAGCATTGCAGTAACCTTCTGACTGGTCTTCCTACTTCCACCCTTGCCCTTGTTCACACACAGGGGCGAGAGTGATTTTGTTAAAACATAGGTCTTTTAAAACCCTACTGTAGCTTTTCATCTTAATCAGAATAAAACCCAGAGTTGTTTTTTTTTTTTTTGATAATTTTTTTTTTATTGTTGCGCTTTAAGTGGAAGTTTACGAGTCAAGGTAGTCTTGCATACAAAAATTTATATATACGTTGTTATGTGACCCTAGTTGCTCTTCCTATACTGTGATAGCACACTCCTCCTTTCCACCCAGATTTCCCGTGTCCATTCTACCAGCTCCTGACCCTCTCTGCCTTCTCATCTCGCCTCTGGACTGGAGCTGCCCATTTCGTCTCATGTACCTACCTGAGCTAAGAAACACACTCTTCAGGAGTATCATTTGATGTCCCATAGTCCAGTCTAATCTTTGTCTGAAGAGTAGGCCTCAGCAGTGAATCAGAATAAAACCCAAAGTTCTTACCGTGGCTCATGTGGTCTTGTATGATCTTGCCTCAGCTCTCTCTCTGACATTTTCTCCTGCTGCTTTTCTCCTGCTTCAGTCTACTCTAGCCTCCTTGCTTCCAGGAGTGCCCCAATCTCAGGGATTTTGTTCTGGAATGCTTGTCTCATATATTTACGTGACTCCCTCTTTCACTTCTGGTCTCTGCTCAGTGTCACCTTGTCATAGAGGCCTTCTCTGACTAATAAAATACCCACTTGTCCTCTGTCCAGTGCCTTTCTGTGTTTTGCTTTTCTTCAGAGGACTTAGTATCTTTGAAAACGTTTTATATGATTTTTTATTATCTATTTCCTGCAACTGTAACATAAGCTCCATGAATGCCGAATTTTTCTGTTTCATATACTGCCATATCTCCAGACCCTGAAGCATGCCAGCCATATGGTCAGCACTCAATATATATTTGTTACATGAGTAAATGATTGGCTAGTAAGGGATGGTTCTCCATACCATGTCTCCTCTGTCTTAAGTTTGTTTCATCATGAAAAATCTAAGTAAAAAGCCTTTGTAGTTGCTCATAAAGACGTATATATAAAATCTCTTATCCGGAAATACTGTTGAGCATTACTACGTCCAGATGTCTTAAATTCTTTTTTGTATGGATGCAAATGAAAATTAAAGCTAGTTTTTTTTTTTTTTTAATGGTAGAAGCAGTGAGGTAAAAAATGATCATTCCTATCATAAATTTTCTGAAAGCTTACGTTACGTGTCACAAGTTACATGTTTTTTTAATTGCAGGCGCATGCCAAGCCTATTGGAGTATTTAAGTTACAACTGTAACTTCATGGGTATCCTGGCAGGACCACTCTGTTCTTACAAAGACTACATTACTTTCATTGAAGGCAGATCATACCACATGACACAATCAGGTGAAGACGGAAAAGAAGAGATACAGTATGAAAAAACAGAGCCATCTCCAAATGTAAGATCATGAGATTTATCTGGATCTTTTATAACATGTGTTGATTAGTCTTATTTATTTAAAGATACTAATGCTTTCAAGTTTTTAATTTAACCACTTATTTAAAAATATTTTTCAAAATAAATGCACAGACTCTGAAGCCAGATGAACCATTAAGCAGTTGCCTTTGAGTCAATTCTTTGCATATTCATATCAATTTTAGAATGATGATTATATATTCCTGTTGAATTCATTCTTTTATTATTATACATTTTTTTCTATTTCTGGTAACCCCTTGTCTTGAAGTCTGCTGTGTCTGATGTTAATATAGCCACTCCTGCTTCCTTTTCAAGACGGCTTGCATGGTGTATCTTGTTCCATCCTTGTACTTTCAACCTGTGCATGTCTTCTAAAGTGTAGGCAGCCTATAGTTGGATCTTGCTTTTATATCCATTATGATAATCTCTGCTTTTAACTGGGGGGCTTTAAATTTAAAGTCATTATTGATATGGTTGGTTTTAAGTCTACCATCTTGCTTTTTGTTTTTCTCGTTCTCCCATCTCGTTTTTGTTTCTTTTTTCCTTCTTCCTTGTTTTCTTTAGAATTAATCAAATCCTTTAGTATCCTATCTTAAAAAATATTTATGTATATATCTATATATATTTATACATATTTATATATATATTTATATATATTTTTATATATATATATTTATTTCCTCAATTGACTTTTTTAGCTGTACTTCTTTGTACTAGTTTTTTAGTGGTTGCTCTAGTTTATAATATACAGCCTTGATTTATGACAGTCTGCTTAGAATTAATATTTTACCACTTCACGTAAAGAGTAAGAACCTTACCACAGTCTAATTCCATGTGCCCATGTGATTGTTGTCATGTATTTTACTTCTGTATATGTATGACACAATATTAGCATTTTGCTTTAAACAAGCGACAATTTTTAAAAGAAATACAAGAAAGTTTTTTATTTCTGTTGCCGGTGCTCTTCATTCATCCCTGTATGTTCACATTTCCATTGGGTATTTCCCTTTGGGTTGAAGAACTTCTTTTAGTATTTCTTATAGTGCAGGCCTGCTAGCAAAAAAAAATTGCTTGGCCTTCATTAATCTATATGTGTCTTTATTTTACCCTCATTTAAAAAAATACTATATTGAATATCGTACGTGGAACGTGTTGGGGAATGTGTATTGTATTATCTTTCTTTAAAGGGTTTTGACTTTTGTTCTGGCACCCATTTAAATTATCAGCAGATTGTCTTGATCCTTGCAGATTTGGTTTTATTATTTGTTAGAGCAGGCCTGTTTTAGGTTTTTTCCATAGTAAAGAAATAATAGTCTTTCGAAGATATGTTTTTCTGGTTGTTTTTCTCTTTAAATTTGAGTGCCTTTGTTTCAGTGTTCTTTGGTAAATGCAAAAGTCCAAACCCACATTTGAAGTAACCGAAGTCTGACTCATCAATCATTTGCAGCTCCTGAAATGAAACATTAGTTTCATGGTTTCCTGGCAGCTTCAGTGAGTTCCTCTGTTGGCTCGTTTACTCTCACATGGCTCTGTTATTTTACACTCCTCGTCCCTTCTTTGGCTTAGGGGGACATCAACAGTAAAGGTGTCAAATGACACTCCATATCCTCTGAAAACTCAGTGTTTTAGTTACTTGATTGGTTGATCCTAGAGGTGAAATTCTTAGATTTGAAATTTATCATTTTAGGTCATAAAGAAAGAACAATATTCCACATGGAGAGATGTGGGTTACTATTAGAAAGAATAATTAAAAACTATCCATCATTACTGGGGTGTGATGAAAAGTCTTTACCCTTGAACACTAGGAATTTTCTTAGAGGAAATAAAAGCTAACTTTGGTACAGTGATGGTAGCATTAAGATGTCTAAGCTTTTATGCACACCTGTGTTCACTTGCAGCATTGTTCACAGTAGCAAAAAATGAAAACAACCTAGATGCCCATCAACAGATGAATGGATAAACAAGCTATGGTACATACACACAATGGAGTACTATGCAACAATAAAGAATAATGATGAACCTGCAAAGCATCTCACAACATGGATGAATCTGGAGAGCGTTAGGCTGAATGAAATAAGTCAATTACAAAAGGACAAATATTGTATGAGACCGTTACTATAAAAACTCATGGAAAGGTTTACACACAAAAATAAACAATCTTTGATGGTTACAAGGGAGGGGAGTGGTAGGGATGGAAAAACACTAAATAGACACTAGATAAGTGGTAACTCATGAACGGTAAGACACTACACAATACAGGGGAGGCCAGCACAACTTGTCCAAGGCAAGGTCTTGGAAGCTCCATGGACACATCCAAACTCCCTGAGGGATCGAATTACTGGGCTAAGAGCTGTGGGGATCATGGTCTCGGGAAACATCTAGCTCAGCTGGCATAACATAGTTTAAAAAGAAAATGTTCTACATTCTACTTTGGTGAGTAGCGTCTGGGGTCTTAAAAGCCTGTGAGCAGCCATCTAAGATACTTCACTGGTCTCACCCTGTCGGGAGTAAGGGAGAATTAAGAAAACCAAAGACACAAGGGAAAGATTAGTTCAAAGGACTAATGGACCACAACTACCACAGCCTTCACCAGACTGAGTCCAGCACAACTAGATGGTGCCCGGCTACCACCACTAACTGCTGTGACAGGGATCACAACAGAGGGTCCCAGACAGAGCTGGAGAAAAATGTAGAACAAAATTCTAACTCACAAAAAAAGAC